ATGTGCAGCAGGTGCTAAATAACTTAAAATAATTTATTTTAAATAAAAATTCCATGCCGATCGTGCGGCTAATCCATCAAAATGCCAATTGTGTCCTGTCCATTCTTATTTTGAAAAACTGCGATAGAGAGAGACCGCGATAAACAAACTGCAAAGTAAAAACTGTGCTGATCAGCTCTGCGAGGTGCTGGCCGATATCTTTAACTCCTCACTTACCCTGGCAACAGTTACCACATGACTGAAGACCACCACCATCATCCCAGTCCCAAAGAGCTCTACAGTGACTGGTCTGCATGACTACCGGCCAGCAGACCTCACCCCGATAGTCGCTAAATGCTTTGAAAAACTGGTCATGACCCACATCAAAACAACCATCAACATCAATGAGGACAGCTGCAGAAAGAAAAGCTTTGAAGAGAGTGGTGAAGGCTGCACAGAAGTCTGTTGGAGTCAGCCTCCCCACCATTACAGACTCCAGATGCAGGAAGAAGACCACCTGCATCATGAAGGACCCCGCTCACCCAGCTCAAACACTTTTTGCCCCCCCCCTCCCCTCAGGAAGGAGGTTAAGGAGCACTAAGTGTAGGGCCACTAGACTGAGGAACAACTTCTACCCTGAGACTGTTAGACTTGTGAAACTCTAACCGTGCATAGCGGAGAAGTGGGCGTGGCGAAGAATGCTTGCAGGTGGCAAAGAGCAGATGAGGCCGAGAGCTGAAATCATGACAGTTTGTGGCACACATCCTTTGTAAATCCCAATCAACATGGAAAGTGAAGTGAAACGCTACTTACCTGAAGGAATTATAGAATGTTTTCCTCTGACAACATTGTTGACGGCTTGCATTACCATCAGTTTGCTATCATAGTGATTTTGTGAAAAATCATCAGAGAAAAAGGTTAAATGTTGCCAGTGGAGAACATGCTTTTCAGACATACCCCGAGTGTTTAGAGGGTGCAATACAGTTTACAGTATTCCATTTACAAAACTTAAACAGAGTATGGATAATTTGAAAAGATGGATAAAGGCTGGCAACTGACCTCATGATCAGCTGAATACAACAGTGATAAATACGTAGGAAGTCATGTTCGTCTGTACAACAGTAACTGCAGGTAAATCCTCCATTTTCTATCATTATTACGTATTATGCTCAATGGTTAAATTAAAGTTTAATATTTAAAGCTAGTTGTGCTTTGTTTTGTGTGCTTTGAATGTAGATGTATGTTGCAACTTCTGGTTGCATAGGTTCAGTCTGTTTGCTATGATCAGTTAATGCTAAACTGGTTTTGCACAAAGCTTTTATTAGGATGTGTAATGTAAAATTTGCACTCTTAGTGCATACTGAATTTCACTGTAAATTATTGTCCTATGTTGCTTTACATCATGAAAACATCTACTGCAGTAACTATTTTATTAGTCTCTTTGAATTTATTTTTGCCTGTCACCTTTGACTGACGGCTGAAAAGCAAAAATGGTATTGGTAGAACGCTCTGGACCTGTAGCAAAACCTGCTACAAATCAGCAAAAAACAGGAAGTCACTCACATGAACCACTGAGTAGTAATGAAACGCTGGACAGGATGATATGTGGGGGCACACAGGCTCCATGCACATAAGGGGAATTAATATTGGGATGATGTAATGAATAGACTCTCCAAGAAGCCACCCATCCCGCACAGTGCCAGCTTATAGGAATGAATAATGTGCTGAAGTAGGCCACCTCACCACAATAGGGGGTAGTTGCTTTTGTGCATCACATAAAATTTGCACAATGACTGAATGAAAATGCTTCCTTTTAACATAAACATATTCATCCTGTGATGAAGCATTTATAGAAAGTGTGTGCAGTCAATAGCTCCGATTACATTAGGAAAACTAGCTGTCTGCAAATTGTGCTTTAATGTTAGCCAGTTCAACTGCATTGTAGAGACTTTGATATTCTTGGTTGATATACGGATAATTCCATCCCACACAGCTGACATTGCTCCGCTCAGGGTAGTGTTGCATTCGGGCCCAAAAAATACGACCCAATCCAGCCCCAGCCTGTAGCCATCATTTCCGACCCCCACACGAACCGAAAATTTAACAGTAACAACAGGTCCAAACCCGACCCCCCGACCCCCTAACATTTTAATTAAGCTTTGACTGCTTATATAGTTATTAACGGTGGGCAGATGCGCACGGTTGAGTAAAGGAGGCAGAAGATCAGAGCTGAGGAGGTGTTTCTCCTTTCATGGCCGTCAAAGTGATGATGTTGATCTTAGGCCAGGACTCTGCGGTCTAGACTCATCTCCAGGCCAGCGGTCACTCTTTCAGGGATGAAGATGTTCACATCCTGGATAGAGAGGAACGATGGTTTGAGAGAGGAGTAAAGGAGGCCATCTTTGTGAAAAGAAATCGTCCATCGTTAAACAGGGGTGGAGGCCTCCAGGTTCAACTGTCCCCCTCTTACAATGCTGTTATTGCTAGTATCACTCAGCCCTCTGTGAACAGTAAACAGCCATCAGTGTGCTAATGATCCATTGTTATGCTGATGGTCCTTCTTGAGCATGTGATCAGCTGGTTTTGGTTGTCAGCAGCAAAACTGGTTGATCCACTCTGAGACGGTGCTATTTCAGAGACTGAGCTGAAAACAGCACCTCAGACTGAAGAAGTCTCTCGGATGAGAGACGAAATGTTTCTACATTTTTTTGTTGATTTGCTTTGTTTTGTTTTTTTGAATGTCCAGAGGACCAGATTTAACTTTTTTAGATTTTTCTACCTGGATTATTGAGCATGCATCAGGATGTTAAGAGTTAACAACATATTCTTTTGTTTAAAACGTATGGCTAAAACTACATTTGATATATTTTGCACTGTTTTGCACTACAAGAAAGAAGCCTAATACTTGATTTGTTTATTATTTAAAAACTCTCTGGACCTAGTAGTGGAATTATCTTAATTCAAAATAAATGATGGGCAAAGGACACCCTATGCTTTTTTCATTCCTATTGGAAGTTTTATACCAAAAACATATTGTGATATATATCGTTATCGCCACCCATCACAATACATATCGTGATATGAATTTTATTCCATATTGCACATTCCTAGCTTTGAGCTACTAACTGAAGTTACAATATTCATTTCCAAGTTAATTTAACTAAGAATCATTTGTAAAACAAACTGTTGTCTTATTTACTCCTGGTTCCCATATATGAAAAATAATTTGTATAAATGTGAAAGACTTTGACAGTGAATGTGAGAGACATTGAGTTTAGTAGTGAAGTTGAGAGACTTTGATATGGGCTCAAATTCTAGCCATAAATATTTTGCACGTGTAAAAAAGATTTGTGACCTTGTAAAAAAACAATCATAATAATTATGTGTAAAAAAGATTTGTATTGGTAAAAAAAACCTTAAAAACTCACGTTACAAAACTTTTTACGATGTTACAAAACTTTTTTACGATGTTCTGTTTACAGATACGAATCCAAAAACTATGTGTACAAATGTTGTCCTGGATTTTACGTCTGTGTACGATTTTCTGAATAAAGAGCACTTACGTTCACATTTTAATTAATCACATCAATGGACATATAAATACCAATATATACAGTATTTATAGGGGTGGGGGGTATTGGAAGAACAAAAATTAGATAGATAGATAGATAGATAGATAGATAGATAGATAGATAGATAGATAGATAGATAGATAGATAGATAGATAGATAGATAGATAGATAGACAGACAGACAGACAGACAGACAGACAGACAGACAGACAGACAGACAGACAGACAGACAGACAGACAGACAGACAGACAGACAGACAGACAGACAGACAGACAGACAGACGGACAGATGGACGGACGGACGGTGAACGTTAGTGCTCTTTATTCAGAGAATCCACATCACATCAGGATTTCAGGATCTGGTTATTATAAACACAGATTAAATGTTAAACGAATATTTCTATATTTATCACCACAGTAATATTGTTACACATGTTCAACACTCAAAAGAATACATATGTTGGTTTAGTGCTTACCTTTAACCTAAGCATTTAAGGAGTAAACATTTTTAATAATCACGTTAAAAGTTACAGAAGTTGTCTTTGGTGCCTGTTTGTTTTCAAACAATATTAGTGTGTGTGAATGACAGGCATCTACTTAAAACACTTTGTAGAACGGTGCTTTATGAAGTTCAGTCCATTTCCTTGTATTAGTTGACCCGCAGATCTGCCACATTCAATATGGCAGATGCTCTGATGACCAGTCCACTCAACTAGGCGTCTATAGCCAAACCCATCTATTATCTGATTGGTTCCTTAATTTGTGATTGACATGACATTGACCAATCAGGTGAGAGACGTAAAATCCAAGAAAAAAAAATGTACACATAATTTTTGGATTCTTATCTGTAAACAGAACATCATAAAAAAGTTTTGTAATGTGATTTTATATACTTTTTTACAAATACAAATCTTTTTTACAAGATTACAAATCTTTTTGTCAAGGCTACATATCTTTTTTTACAAGGTCACAAATCATTTTTACACATACAAATCTTATTTACAAGGTCACAAATCATTTTTACACATACAAATCTTATTTACAAGGTCACAAATCTTTTTTACACGTGCAAAATATGTATGGCTAGAATTTGATCCCATACTTTGATTGTAAATGCAATAGACTGATAAAGAACGTGAGACATTGACAGTGAACCTGTCGAATCAGAAGATGAACGTGAAAGCAAGAAGACATTTTGCCTTAAATGGCCTCTCATACATCGCCTTTGCGCTCTCGCATTCAACAGGCACAGAGAGCGCGGCACTGGCTTCATGACGTGCACTGATTGGAAGCGTTTGGTCCACCAGGTCCGGCAGCAGACTGAACCCGTGAAAGAGAACGATGAGTGCGTTTTAGGAGCGTTCAACTTGTGCGCAATGGCGCCGGTGCGTAAATCCTCTCCAGCTTTGCGCTTCAGCCGCTGTTAGATAAAAGCAGAGAGCTTCACATCCCCGGGAACAGGAGCAGAGCAGAGGAGGATGGAGGCTCCGCAGAACAACGGGTCCAACTTCACATCGAACTACACCAACAAGTTCGTGCAGCCGCCGTGGCGCGTGGCCCTCTGGTCGGTCGCCTACAGCTCGGTGCTGGCCGTGGCCGTGTTCGGAAACCTCATCGTTATCTGGATCATTCTGGCCCACAAGCGGATGCGCACCGTGACCAACTACTTTCTGCTCAACTTGGCTTTTTCGGACGCGTCCATGGCGGCGTTCAACACCCTGATCAACTTCATCTACGCCGCGCACGGGGAGTGGTACTTCGGGGAAGCCTACTGCAAATTTCACAACTTCTTCCCAGTCACATCTGTGTTCGCCAGCATCTACTCCATGACGGCCATAGCTGTGGACAGGTGGGTTAAACATCCATCTCACCCCAAACCCCCACTAGAACATAAAGAAGCCTTGATTTTGGATCAGTTTATTAACCATGAACTAAAACTTCTTCTAGGGGCAGATTATTAACATAAGTTTTTAGAAATGTATCCTAATGCTAACAATGAGTTGAACTTTGATTCCGTTTGGATAAAAGAAACCCTTAATTTTTGATTCATACAATATTTTAATTTGCTCAAGCATCTCAATTAGTCAAACAATTACTGGACATTTTGTTCCTGATTAATGAGCCTAATTATTCCAGCCCTGTAGCAGGAAAATTAAACTACTGCTTAAACAGTCAAACTCATTCTTGTGATATTTAGTGCCTGAAGACAAACTGAGCTCCATCTTGGACATTTCGAGTCACATAATAAGCCTTCAGTCCAGATGAGCATCCTTGATCAGGACCCTGTAGTCTCATTTAGTCTCCTGGTCAAATGGACTTCCGTTCCCTGCAGAGGATTTATTCTTTGAGTTCTGCTGCCTAACAAGGGACATTTGTGAATATATTATTCAGGACTTGGTGAACATTGTAAGAAGTCTGAAGAATAAGTTTTTACAACCTTTACAAAAACTGGTCACACACAGGTCACATACCCCACTTCAATTTATTCAAGTTTTATTTATTACAACTATACATTTTATTTAGCCAATAAAACATTTTATCTACAGATGCTTGCATGCAGGTAACTTGTGGACTGGTTCCATATTTAAAATATTAAATAAATGGATAAAGGTGCTGCACTAAATCAGGCCAAATAATGAGTCTGTTTTATTTCTGTTTTCGGACTGACTGAATGCTTGCTGAAGGGTTTATAAACCCATTAACAACTCATTTATTAAGCATTAATAAATCCTTTATCACAGGGTCTGTATCAGGAGGCGCTCCCATCATTTCAGTTAGGTGCAGAAAAATCATTTTCCACATATTTGTATTTCTAACTACATATAATCTGAATAAATAGTTTTGTGAATAGATTTGAAAAGATGTTCTCTGTTCTCATTTCCACGCTCCAACTCTCTTGCTTTCTGTCACACGCACTCATCCTTTTTGCTCCCTCACACATTTTCTTTGTGTTTTTGTTTTCCTCCCCTCTGGTTTCTTTGTTTCTCTTCTGCTTTCCACTCATCTGGAGACGCGAACAACAGTATCAGCTCGGCTTTGACCAGTGAACCGTCGCGCATCATATTACTTGACTGTAAGGTTTAGACTGACGAGCCGCAGGCCAGATGTAACCACATGTAAGGAGCCGTGCAGAAGGAAGCGTGCTGCAGCCAGCACAAGTGGCACAGTGTGTTGTGAGGTTGTGCGACGTGTTTTCTTTGTCCAGTGCTTCTCTTTGACACACAAACTGAACAATGCGTTTCTTGGGCCGTGCAGACTTTGGCTCTCATGGATTGTGAGTTTTGGCTCGTAGTATTCCTTCAATCTTGTAAAGTGTGTACTGAGAAAAGGAACATTACCGTGACCTGCAGCATGCAGACGTGACCCCGGGTCATGGTTTTCTGTAACGCCAGCATGAGTCTGTCTCTGCTCTGATGTCTTCAAATGGCAGAGGCCACAGTTCGTGATCGACTGTGAATTTGTCCTTCCTGCTGTTTCTCAGCAGCCGAATCTGTTTCTGTTGGCACTGCTGCGAAAGAAAAGCAACACCACAGTCGCTGAATCTGACTATTAATCTTTAATTATGTCCTTTTTCAGAAGTATTGTTTTTATCTTTCCAAACAAATAATATATGTGTAAATGATCTATGTATGAACAGATAAATGTTTTTTTTTTTTTTTTTTGCAAAGGATGATTTATCAAAACATCAGTATTCACCCCCGTGCAGCAGTTTCAACTCCCGTGCACGACGCGCTTCGCTTCCTTCCACAACCTTTACATCGGATTTAGGTCAGGAATTTCACTTGGTCGTTCCAAAACATTATCTTTATGCCTCTTAATCCATTCTTTGGCAGAACTGCTTGTTTTCTAAGTCACCAGGTCTTTCTGCGTGATCCACTTTTTTTTTTTTTTTTTGCTTTCACTTTACAGAAACATGAGCCTGACTTTAAAGTTAACTGATTCCTTCTCTCTCCACTGCTGGAAAGTCAGTTCTGGCAAACTTTCAGTACGACTAACCCGAACATGAAACCACCACCATATTTATCTATGACACATGGGTCCAACGCTGCAACTTCTAACCCCTTACAAGGGTTTTCTTAATTCAGGTCCTCTGGACAGAGTCGTCTTTGTCAGACTGAAGAAGTATTTTGGATAAAAGATGAAACGTTTCAACAAGAAGAATCCGTCCAGAGGACCTGACTCAACTTTGTTACATTTATCTACCTGGATTATTGAGCATCAAGACACGCCAAAATTCTGATTTTAGACTCTGGTACATACTGTATTTTTGCAGCCAAGCAGCAATGTAACTATTTCAACTAATTTCTCTCTGATGATCAACAAAATATCTATTTTATTGTATTATAGTCATTTTTCTTCTATCTTACCATGTTCAAAGTTATCTATTTTGTCATTTATTCATGAAGACGAACATAATTATATTTTAGAAAATAGGTAGATTTGTTGAGGGTTTCTGTAAAATCCTGGGATTTATTTATGTTGTTGTTTTTAGAGAGGATAAAATTCATGTTTATTTTCCTCCATCCATCTTCTACCACATGTCCATGTCAGGTCATGGGGTCAACAGGTCCAGGAGTGAAAACCAGACGTCCTTCTCCCCAGGTGACCAAGAGTCATCCGAATCAGACACCTGGACCACCTCAACTGACTCCTTTGGATTGACCGGCAGATTGTGTGAAACCTTCACTCCATCCTGAGCAGCATGGAGGCAAAAGTGGGGGGGAAAGGCTTCTTTATATCAGGAAGAAATCTCCAGAAGAACCAGAAGCAGGATGAGTGTCCATCTACCTCAGTCAGAGAAGAACCACAGAAAGATGGGTTCAGTTTAGTTTCAATGGGAGGAAGCAAAACAGGTTCAAAACAGCAATAATTTCATGTATGAACATGGAGAGCAGAGAGAGGACGGAGATGAAAGTGAGGGAATGTGGTCAGTTTGTCCTCCAGCAGTCTAAGACTATAGCAACTTAACTAAAGAAAGCTCAGGAAACCCAAGCTAACCATAGGATTTATAGACGTCTTCAACTTAGTCCTTGAAGTCGACACGGTGTTGGCCGAAAGCTCCTTAGAGATTATTTTACATGTTCTAGGTCAGAACCACTCACAGTATTTTACCCAACAAATAATTCAATGCACTCAAAAATTTTGATTGATTTAATCTGATTTTGTTCGTTTCCGTGCTTGACAATCTGGTAAGAACATTTCACCCTCTGTTAGAAACTTGTTTTGTGGTATTTTAAGCCACTCGTTGATATTTGAGAGAAGATTTGACATTTCCTGCTCCCACTGTATTAAACTCTGCTAGTTCAATATCTTGTGCTAATAAAATATTTACTTTGCAATATAAGACCGCCGTGGTTTCAAAACAATATCCTGTCCAAGTTTTCCTGTATTCTGTAGGGGATGACACAATGATAAATTTGATTCGTTTGTCCACACCTATAACATCTTTGGGGTCGCTCCCAGTTGAAGAAGATAACTGTAAATACTTCGTCTAGATACTAGATGAGCCTTTTTGTTCAAATATTACTGAATGCACACTCCAGTGGTTTCAAGTATATTACATCATCAACCATTGTGTGACCTCAACTCCACGGCTTCAGTACAGACGTGATTGGACATCCAACATAGACCAGTGATTGGATGGATCTTTGTTGCTGCTCTCTAGAGACTTTGAGCCGCTGAGGTGAAAAAGAAAGGCCCATTTCGTTTTTACTGTCTCAGTAAGATTGGATTAGCTGCTCTTAAAGCGTGTGTGATTACCAGTTTCAAATCACGCAACACAATGAGCTGGGTTTATGCAAAGTGTAATGTCCCGCCTGTTTTCAATGTTTCACTGCAAGGAGCAGGAAAAACTCACCCCAGAGGTGTCGTATATATCATTCATCAATTTCACTTGAAAATAATAAAAAAAACACACACTTCTTTCAGAAAATCATGCCTAATTTTGGTGTTAAAAATGTCTGAGAATCACCAGCTGAGCTGAATGAGAAAAAAAGGGGGGAAATGATTCATGATTTGATTTTTAATTTTAAAACGACAATTTTAAACTTTTTTTTTTTTTTTAAAAACACAAAGTCCAGAGGACTTTAAAGCAAAAATTCTGACCTTTTGAAGTTTGGTTTTCTAGAAAAGTCATGATCACTAATAATAGTTTCTTACCTGCTATAGATAGGTCTTTGAATGAATTCAGTTTAGGGAAATGGTTGAAAAACGACCAGATGAACGACTCGTCTCAATGAAGCTAAACTGATTAAAATCGACTCTAATCTTGAAACCTTTACAGTAGTTCAGCCAAAAATGTACATCCCTGTACATTATTGAGCATGCATCATGATACATCCCTGTAGATTTTGCATTGCACAGCTATTTTATTTACATTGCTGCAGCAGCTGGCTGTAGCCCATCATTCTATCTCTGACATACTAACTGTCAAATACAAAACCGACAGTGATAGAGGTTTGTAAAATAACCTTCATATGATTTTAAATATATATATATATATATATCTATATATATATATAGATAGATATATATATATAGATTGGAGCGTTTGAAGATAACAGGAATCTACTTTGCTTTTGACTTAACTTGCACCAGATGTTAAGCTTTATTCTCCAAACTGTTTGTTTAAAGATGTCCAACATGTAGCATATTAATTATTCACAACTCTTGCTATTGTTGGATGTAACTGGAACCCTGTGTACACAATGTCGTTCCACCTCATGTACCGCATGCGATGTGAACGACAATAAAGAGCCTTGAATCATTGACTCTTCTTACTGCACCCCGTCAAATATGGTGACACATTTAAAACATCACATATCACAACTTTTACAAGTTATTTGTATGTTTATGGAGTGAAAAGTAGAATGGCCAAGTCTCAGGATGAGTCTGTATCTTTCTGCCCTGATAAAAACCGTGTATGTGCTGGAAGATCACTCCAGGACACTATCCTGCATGCTTTCAATGTTCCTCTGCTGCAACACACCTGACCTGAATCAATGGGTGATTTACAGATTTCTGCAGAAAGTGGAGGTCATTCATCCTCTGAATCAGGTGTGTTGGAGCAGAGAACAGGTAAAACATGCAGGGTACTGGCCCCGAGAACCAGGATTAGACACTCCAGCTCTAAAGCAATGAGATGGTTGTGAACAGAAGAATGTTGCACGTGTTTCTGAGTGTAATGAGCTTAAACTGTAGACCTCTACATGAAATATAGATCAAATGCAGAAGGTTTTTTTTTGATCAGCCATAGCCCACTGCAGTGTGGCTTGACAGGAAAGGTCATTCTGCCAGTAGATGTTGAAACCATTTTTTCCCATTAAATTGTTCATCGGTGATGCATTTTTCCTGCTAAATTATCATTCAAATCATCTTTTAAAAAGCCTGAAATCCATTATTAATGACCGCTTTTGCTAGTCTAACCAAGGAAGTGTTTTTCAATCTGCAGATACATGGCCATCATTCACCCTCTGAAGCCTCGTCTCTCAGCGAAGGTCACCACGGGGATCATTGGGTGTATCTGGAGCCTGGCCGTGGTTCTGGCTTTCCCTCTGTGCTACTTCTCCACCACCCGAGTGCTGCCACGCAGGACCATCTGCTACGTGGCCTGGCCTCGCATGGCTGACGACCCCATCATGTGAGAAAATAGTATTTTGGAAAGATTATTTTCTTCTCTTCACAACATTTTTATGCTTCTAGTCATTTCCTCTTCTGCCATATACACATTGCTTCATTAATATACAATGACGTGAGTGACATCAAGCGTCCTATCAAACCCTCAACAACAAATTATGAGATGTTTGTAGCAAATGCTCTCCCAACTTCTGATAGCTTGTTTTTACTTTGACACTGTAAATGATATAAAAACTGCACAAATAATAGAAAAAAAAAATCTATAATGCAAAACAATACCTGGTCATTTACACCACATTTATATGAAAAGTTATTATTTTCCTTTACAGAAAAAAAAAAACCATGTAAATTTCTACTTTTTGCATGTGAACACATGCAAACAAGATGTGGACATACTGTAAGGTATCCAACATCATGTGTAAATTGTGATGATGAGTATAAAACACTTTTGAAATCTTGTAACCCCACATTACTGTATTATCAAGAACATAATCCAAAACAGAAGTTTATTATGTGCTAAAAACATTTTACTTTCAACCACCTGTGACTTTCTTTTACGAGTTTTTTTTTTCTGCAAAGGTCAGAATCAGGGATGTCCCCAAGCTGAAACAAGTAATGTGCTCATGCACAGCACATGCCAAACAGCTTTCATCAAACCTAATTAGGCTTTGTTAATTAATTTCTAATTAGTTGTAGAGCGTTTCTCAGGATCTGTTATCTGGCTCACATTTGTCTGTATTTTCTTTCTGTCATCCCTGGAAGCTGTGGTCTTAAGGACGTCTTTGAATACCAGCTGAAATGGGTTCATGTTATCATATCATGCCAGCTTCATTTATTACCAAAATGTCTCACAGAACAATAAATAAGACAACAATCTCAAGGCATAACAAATAAAATAAATAATTCACTTGAAAACAAAGTAAAAACAGCCTTGTAATTGGTAAATGGACTGTACTTATATAGCACCTTTCTGTGTTATCAAGATAAAGTGTTTTACACTACAGTCTGTGCCTCATTTACCCATTCATACAGCGCTCTACTATAGCTCTACAAGCTAATCTGAGTCTGGAGAGACTAATCAGAGCTTTAGATCACATTCATACACTGATGGGACACACACTGGAGGCAATGAGGAGTTCAGTGTCTTGCCCAGGAACACTTCAACATGTGACTACTGATGGAATCGAACCCCCAACTCTCCCATTGGAGGACGACTGCTCTAACCACTCAGCCACAGCTGCCCCGTCATAAAAACAAATAAATCCACATAATTGAAAGAGGCTACATCTCACATGATGTCAAAGGCCATGGATGAGTCAGAAGTAGTGATTTAAAAATGGGCGGAATGATCCTGTCTAATATCCAAACAAGCTCATTCCACAGAAATCTCCGTGTTATTCAGGAGCTGATGTTAGTATTTTGTAAAAGTTTCCGTGTTGGTGTATTTATATCACTAAAACATATTGTTCTCTAACAGAATAGGGTAAGCTTGCATGTACTGTACATACAATAAATGGTAAATGGTAAATGGACTGTACTTATATAGCGCCTTTCTATCTTATTTCAAGATACTCAAAGCACTTTACACTACAATCTGTGTCCTCATTTACCCATTCATACAGCACTCTATTAGATCTCTACAAAGCTAATTGAACAAATCATTCTATAGAGACTAATCAGTGCTTTAGGTCACATTCATACACTGATGGGACACACATAAGAGGCTATGAGGGGTTCAGTGTCTTACCCAGGGACACTTCAGCATGTGACTGCTGGTGGATTAGAACCCCCAACTCTTGCATTGGAGGACGCCTGCTCTAACCGCTCAGCCACAGCCGCCCCCAATAGTATGACAATACTATAGTAAGACAAGGGACACAATGATCTTTAGTTTTTGCCTGCAATAATTGATCATACCAGTGCTTCTCAATTTTTTTCTTTTACGACCCCCTAGGAAAAAGTAAACATTTCACACACCCCCAACTCTCCGCCAGGATGGTAAATAGTATAATTTGTCTATTAAAATGTTACAAGTACACCTCTGCATAACACTGTGTTCTTATTAACATTAAAGAAAAAAAAGAATATAGATTAACTTACAAAGAAGAATAACTTTATTAACATTGTTTTTTAGTCTGTAACAAAAACAACTTAAAGTGCATCAATTTGCCTGAAAAAAAAAAAACTTTAATCTTTATTTAAACTGTAAACATTTTTCATAATTTGGTACTGAAAAATAAAATTAAATATAATCAATTAATATTAATATATTCAAATTGATCAGCAACATTTTAACTCAGGAGTGTTATATAAAACACTTTGACCTACAAAACAAAAATGAATAAAACGATTTGTGCCGATTGTTATTTATTTTTATCAAAATGAGGAAGTCAGGATCAGTGAGCACACTCATCGATAAAACAAAAAAAAAATGTCAGCGTGAAAGAGGAAAGAGGGGGCAGGTAACCCTCTCGCTTTGAGTTTACTCTTTGTCACATGCGTGATGTTGGTGACAATCATCCAGAGCATCACAGAAACAGCAACTTAACTGAGGACGTGAATATATTTTGTTAGCAAAGAATAGAAGCCTAACATTTATTAAACATTGATTCTGTATTTACAAAAAAAAAAAAAAAAAACATCAATATTGTGCTTTGACAAACTCCTCGATAAAACTAAAACATTTTATCAACACGAAAGAGGAAAGAGTGGCAGGTGTCACTCTCGCTTTGAGTTTACTCTTTGTTGCATGTGCACTGTGAGTAACGTCTAGAGCATCATAAAAACAGCAGTGGAGGTGTCAGAGTTTATTTATGTATCATCTTAGCAGCAGAGCGGAGCGACACGGTTCATGCATGGCTCCCAAAATGACAAGGCAATCATATTTGTTCATAACTTTATTATTTGTAAATCTGAGAGATACGAGCAAACTGTTGCTGGAATGCACGGGCCAAAATGAGAATGGTGGGGAAAAAAAGAACTACTCCCAGTGGCAAAAAAAAAACATGTTCCCTGGGGTCACATGCATAACCCCTAACATTGCCCTGGGTACCCCCAGGGGGGTGCGCCCCACTATATGAGGACTGGATTATACCAACAACATTCTGTAGACACTAATAAGGGGTTGAAATACTTGAGCAGGACCTCCAGTCCTGGTCCTGGAGGGCGACCATCCTGCATGTTTTAGATGTTCCTCTGCTCCATCATGCCTTGTCTGATTCAATGAGTCATTAACAGGTTTCTGCAGAACATGAAGAGGTCATTTAATCATTGAATCAGGTGTGTTAAAGCAAAAATAAAACAAACAAAAAAACAAGTAAAAACATGTAGGATAGTGGCCCTCAAGGGCCATGACAGGAGACCCCTAAACTAGAGATGAGCTAAAGGCAATAAATGGACAACTGCTATATCTGAACCTGTCTCTTTCCATTCATCCATTATCTTCTGCTTGTTTCGGAGTTGAGTCGTGGGGACAGCAGCTTAAGCACAGCCACTCTTCCAGCTCTTCTGGGAGGACTTAAAGGCAGGTCAACTGAGACACATAGTCTCTCCAGCCTGTCCTGCATCTTCCCCAGGCCCTCTTCCCAGCCCTGGAGCATTTCCTTAGCTAGGCGACTAGGGGGCATCCTTACCAGATGCTCAAACCACCTCAATTGGCTCTCCTCGATGTGGAGGAGCAGCAGTTCTACTCCAAGTCTCTCCCTGATAACAACTTCTCACCCTATCGCTAAGAGAGAATCCAGCTACACTGTGGAGAAAACTTGTTTCGACTACCCGTAGCCACAATTTCATTCTGTCGGTCACTACCCAAAGTTCATGGCCATAGATAGGAATGTAAACTGACTGGTAAATAGAAAGCTTTGGCTTACAGCTCAGCTTCCTCTTCACCACAACGGACTGGCACTGAGTCTGCAATACAGCAGATGTTACACCAATCTGTCTGTCTCTCAGATTTGGAGGTGCAGATTCTCATCCCATCCACTTCACACTCAGCAGCAAACTGTTTCAGTGAGATCCCAACGTCATGATTGATTGATTGATTGATTGATTTTGACCCAAACTCTTGCACCACTTATATACTTACAGAATGGCCTGTAACAACAGGCCCCCAATCCCATACTTGCAGAGCACCCCCAACAGCGCACCTTAAGAAACACTGTTGAACGCCTTCTCCAAGTTCACAAAACACATGTAGAATGGATGGGTAAACTCCCATGAACCCCCAAGGACTCTAGTGGGAGTAAAGAGCTGATCTAATGTTCCATGACCAGGACGGAACCTACATTTTTCCTACTGAATCCGAGGTATGATCAATGATCGGACTCGCTTCTTCAATATCCCTGAATAGACCTTTACAGTGAAGCTAAGGAGATTGATGCCCCTGTAATAGGAGCACACCCTCCAGTCCCACTTTTTGAAGAGGGGAACCACCACCTCAGTCTGCCAATCCAGTGGTACTGCTCTTGATGTCCAGGCGATTTTTCAAAGGTGTGTCAACTAAGACAGCACTGCAACATCCAGAGACTTAAGGAAATCAGGGTAGATCTCCCGCTGCCATTGCAGAACTTTTTAACTAACTTGGCTCTCTCAGCCCTAGTTATAGACAGACCATCCCTGAAGTCCCCCATCTCAGCTTCCTCCATGGAAGACATGCCAGTGAAATTGAGAAGATCAGAGAAGTATTCCTTCCACCTGCCATTGCATTATTGGTTGAGGTCAACAGCACCCCACCTTCACTGAACACAGTACTAGTAAAGCATTGCTTTCTCAGACTCAGCTCCTGATGGTTTGCCAGAAAATCCTGAGCTTATCAAAATTCGCTATCCAAGACATAACCAAACTTCTCCCACATCTAAGTTTTTGCCTCAACAATAGCCATGGCTGCAGCCTGGTTGGCCTGCTGATACTCCTCATTTGCCTCTGGAGTCCTACTAGCCAACCAGGCCTGATAGGACTCCTTCTTCAACTTTACAGCCTACATAATTCCAGATGTCCACCACTGAATTTGTGGATGGCCATAATGAGAGTCACTGACAACCTTGCGGCCACAGATAAAGGCAGTTGCCTCAACAGTGGTGGCGTGGAGCGTGGCCCACTAGCACTCAATGTCCCCCGCCTCAGCTGGGATGCAGTTAAAGCTCTTTCAAAGGTGTGAATTAAATATCTTTCTGATGGGATCTTTTGCCAGGCATTTCCTGCAAAAAACTCACTACAGATTTTGTGTTTAGGATCTGTCCATCATGTTCCGTTGCCATCTGATCCAACTCAACATGAGGTAGTGATCAGTTGACAACTTTGCTCCTCTCTTCACCCCAGTGTCCAAAACATACGGCTGCAGATCAGATGACACGACAACAAAGTCAATGATCGATCTATGACCTAGTGTGTCCTGGTGCCATATGCATTTATGGACACTGAACATGGTGTTCTTGATAGACAAATCATGACTAGCACAGAAGTCCAACAACAGAACACCGCTCGGGTTCAGATCAGAAAGGTCGCTCCTCCCAATTACTCCCCTTCATGTCACAATGTCATTACTTACATGGGCATTGAAGCATCCCAGCAGAATAACAGAGTCCTCAACTGGAGCACCTTCCAGCACCTCTGCAAAGGACTCCCAAGAAGGCTGGATACTCTGAACTGCCAATTGACACGTAGGCTCAAACAACTATCAAAGCCCGTTCCCCTACCTGAAAGTGCAGGGAAGATACCCTCTCACTGAACAGAGAAAACTCCAACAAACAGGTACCAAGTTGGGAGGATAAAAGTAGATCAACACCAGCTCAGCGCCTCTCACCATGAGAAACTCCAGAGTGAAATAAGGTCCAGCCCCTCTCAAGGAGATTGGTTCTGGAGTCCACGCTGTGCATTGAGGTGAGCCCAACTATATCTGATTGGTACCTCTGAACCTCATGCACAAGCTCTGGCTCCTTCCCCACCAGACAGGTTATGTTCCATGTCCTAAGAACCAGTCAGGATCAGAGTGCCAAAGCACCCACCTTCGGCAACCATCCATGGCATATGCGCCTGACTTGTATGGTCCATCCTGTAGATGGTGGCCCCACAGAAAGGCAAACCCATGTTGCTCATTTGGGCTGTGCCTGACCAGGCCCCATGGATAAGGGTCCAGTCACCAGACACTTGCTGAAGAGATCCTCCCTCAGGCCTGGCCTCAGGTTAGGGCCCCGGTAACCCACATCTGGGTAAGGGACACTGACCGCCTTGCTGTTTTCTGTCTGTGTGAGTCTTTGAAATCACTCTTTGTCTGTCCTGTCATGTAGGACCAAACTGTCTCTTTCACAAGTAAATGTGGTGAATTTAAACAATTAACAGTCAGTAACATACTATAGTTAGACTTATTGTGTTATTGAAAGGAATCCTCTTCCTGATGAACAGCCATTAATATTGCTAATCAGAGAAGCAACAATTATTTCAACTCATAGTCTTGCTTCCGTACGGTATCTATATGCCTATACTAATGTCTTATATGAAAATAACTTTTATTATAATCAGACGCTGACTTAGGAACAGTTTTCTGGGTTTTAGTTTCCTATAAACAGATCTAAAACAGAGCATCCATGGTTAGATTGTAAAATAGATAAATCTGAATCCCACCTGCTGTCTTCACCTCCCAGCTTACATGGGTAAATTGCATTGTAAGTACTGTAATACAGCCTGAGCTCCCAAGGATTTCATTTCATTTTACTTTTGGAGTCATGGGTAGTTTTAAACTTTACAAAATACCAGAACCAAATCATCAAATTACACATTTTTGTTTGTTTGTTTTTAATACAACATATTCACCATTTTGCCCTTTCTTCTGCTTTGGCTTTAGGTATCATATCATAGTGACAGCTTTGGTCTACGTATTGCCATTGGTGGTGATGGGCATCACTTACACCATTGTGGGGGTAACGTTGTGGGGGGGTGAAATTCCTGGAGACTCCTCCGATAACTATCATGGACAGCTCAGAGCTAAAAGGAAGGTAAGCCTTGCCTTCGGGCAGTTTGATTTCCAGAACTAAGTGAACGTTTAAATGCTTTGAACTGGGCAGTTTTATCCTGAAAATGTGAAGTTTCTGAGCAGTTTGTCTCTTGTGTGAATGCTTCGAGATCTGTTTTTCTACCTTGCATTTTTCAGCACGTAATTTGTTCCACAGTTGTCAGTCTATTTCATCAATTCATATATCAAAATGTTCAACTTATTCAGGACATTCCTGCTGGGATTTTTGGTGTTGGTGCAATTTAAACTTTTAGAAACATTTAGCATTTTTTCCTCTCTCTCTCATGAATGGAGCTCCCCACATCCTTCATACCCTTTTTGCTGTTTAAAATATTTCGCAGCTCATTTCAGCTTTTGTTCTGGTTCAGCTTTTTCAGCTTCTTTCTGCTAAATTTAGCGTTCTCTGATTTTTCAACTTATGTTTTAACTATTTTTATACTAATTTTAGTCCTTTTTTTTCTTTTTCCATCTACTTTTTGGTTACTATTTTCTATACATTTCTGCCATTTTCTGCTTTAAAACCCTTCAGGTTTTACTTGTCTGCTTTCAGCTAATGTCAGATGTTCAAATTCAACTCATTATCAGTTTAATGATAAAATCTTTTCAGCAGCTTTCAACAAAAAGTTTGGAAGTTCACACTAGTTCACACATTCACTGCACTTTCGCAGGAAATGCAATTTCTCTAGTTTTATTTATTCATAAACTTACAGCAACATGTAGCTATCATGACTTGTATTTACTGGAAATAAACCCCCACAAATGCAAAGGAACCTGTGAGGCTTAAACTGGCAGGCATTTAAATATTAAGACGTTGGAATTACTCGGCTCTATTAGTAAACCTTTGGGATCTGGATTTAAGCTTCTGTGTCTGATAATACAATTGCCACAGCTAATTTATTTTCTAATGGAAGGGAGTCCCTGAACACCACTTAATCAAGTGAATTGTTCTTTAGCCTGTTTTGTGTACAGCGTGTTTCATGAAATTCTATTAGGTCTAAAGTCCTGATAATCAACCCAGTGAAATAGGGACATCCTCTGTGGTGATGACATCAATAAAACAAGAAGAAACACTTTAGCGATATGCAAACCAATTATTTTCGCAGCCTTTACTTCACAACCTTTTTAATAATTTTATTTTTTAAATAGAAAACCTGCTAATAATTCAGACATTTTTTTAGTAAATTAACATTTCTCTTATGTACCATACCATACCATACCACTTTATTTATAGAGCACTTAAAACAGCAACAAGGCCAACCAAAGTGCTGTACAGACAGAACAACAGGTAACACACAAAGCAAAATACAAAATGAGGTAAATCAGAATATAGACATAAAAACGATGCAGATAATGACGACAAACCAGTGTGGAGCATACAGGATCAAAACACAGATCATCTGGTGTTGAAAGCCACCAAATAGTAGTGGGTTTTTAAACGAGACTTGAAAACCGAGAGGGAGGGGGCCTGTCTGACAAGCAGAGGTAACTTGTTCCAAAGTCTTGGTCCTGCTACAGAGAAGGCCCTGCCACCTCTGCGCTTAAGACGAGATCCTGGAACTGTGTGGAGCAACTGGTCCGCTGACCTCAGGGAATGCGGTGGGACATACGGTTGTAGCAGATCAGAGAGATGGGGGGGGGGGGGCACTGTTCAGTGATTTGTAGACATACATGAGTATTTTGAACTGGATTTGAAGGTGAACCGGTAACCAGTGCAGTGAGGCCAAAACTGGTGTAATGTGCTCTCTTTTGCCTGTACTGGTTAAAAATTGGGCTGCTGCATTCTGGACCAGTTGTAGTCGTGCAATGGAGGTTTGACTGACTGATAACAAACAGGAGCAAATTGCAGTAATCAAGCCTAGATGTAATGAATGCATGTATTACTGTTTCCAGGTTATTTTTGGACAATATGGGCTTCAGTTTAGACAGCCGCCTCAGTTGGAAGAAGCATGATTTAACAATCATGTTTACGTGATTGTTAAGTTTCAGGGAAGGGTCCATTATTACGCCAGATTAGTGACTCTGTTTTTCTGACAGGGTTAGAGCGGAGAGGTCAATGCAGCAGTTTGTGATCGTGTTGTTGGGAGGGAACAATGTAGGATCAGTAAGACATAAATTGTAACTATCCATGTTGTCTCCTCACAAAGGATATTCTGCACTCAGACTGAAAAAAAATTAGGACTCAATACCTTCATGTCTTGCCGGCAAGGGACACTGAGCTCCTTGTTTTTTACTGTCCATATAAGTCTTCTGAATTGGGAGTGGTGGCGCATAGGTTAGAGAAGGTGGGCCTGTGATTGGAATATTGATGGAACAACTCCCAGTACCACAAAGTTTGTTTTCTCAGTCATCCAGGTATATAACAACAAAAAAGGTTGAATCATGTCATCTGGACTTCGTTTTTTTGTTAAAAAGAAACGTTTCGCCCCTCATCCAAGAGGCTTCGTCAGTCTGAGGCCTAGCCATCTGGTATTACCCAGAAGCCACCCTGACTCTTGTGTTTCAGGCCTGCCTCAGGCAGCTCCCAGTACCGACAACATCAAAATGAGGCTGGGAAAGTTGAAGAACCCACACCTACCTCCACCCTTATTTGCCCCACTCTGGGTCCTTGAGCAAGGCCCTTAACCCCCACCATCTGCTCCCCTGAGCACCCTAGATAGCAGCTCTCTGCTCCACACAGAGGGCTGTAGTAGCTCGATGTTCTGTGGTTGTGTCAGGAAGAGCATCCGGCAGAAAAGTAATTACCAAGTCTTTGTACAACTTAGTTTGCTGTGGCGACCCTTGAAGAAGGGAGCAGCTGAAAGAGAATAAATAAATAAATTAATTTTTATTTAATCTTCTGAATCACTCTTTGTCTGGCCTGTCACCTAGAACCAATCTGCCTTGGGAGACCCTACCAGGGGCAATAACAAGTGCCCCTGACACCATAGCTCCTAGGATCATTCAGGTGCACAAACTCCTCCACCACGATGAGGTGGCGATTCAAGGAGGATATAAAACATAAATCACGGACAAGCCATATTACTCTAATTTTTCTTGATCCCGACCTTCTGGATTTGAGAAATGATAAAGAAGAAAAATATATAGTTGTTGTAGTCAGTCACGATTTCTATCAAAGTTCAAGTAAAATAAACTAATATAGAATATCTCAATTCCAAGAAGAAGAAAAAAATGGAATCATGAGAATAATGTTAAACCATCAGCATTTTGTTGTACCACCTCGTTTGTTTTCAACAGCTTGAATTCTCTGAGATGTGGACCGAACTAATGACGAACAAACAAACTACTCATCAATCTGCCTCAGTCTCTTACTGCTGTTCCCAGATCTGCTCTGCAGGTTGTAGCCTTGACATTCACCATTTTCTTCATTGTTTACCAGAGATTTTCTGCTGGACTAAAATCTGGACTATTTGCAGGTCTTTCTCATTATATGTATTTCTTGAACAAATGTTTTTATGTCCTTTGTCCTATAGCCAGACATACTATCATTGTGAGAAATAAAAATCAGCAGCAAACATCATTTCAAACTGATAAAGAAAAGCATCCAAAAATGTAAATATGGAAGCTGTAATGACTTTCATCCATCCTGTGCCTTCACCTGACATGACACTTTTATCTAGTCCCCCACAATCCATAATTTTATTTATTTAGCTCCTAGTCACTTTGTTCTTCTCTTTTAGGGTGGTAATGATGTCTTTGTTTGACTTTTCAGTCTGTAAATCCCCCTTTTTTAACTGCTTTCTTATTGATTCCAGTTTCTGCCCAATTGTTTCTCGTTTTCTGTATTTTCAAAGTCATTTTGCTTTCAGTTTTCTGTCTTGACTGTTCAATGTCTTCCTTGGTCTACCAGCATGCTTCCTTTTTTACAACATTCCTATTTTGTTTGTTCTTGGTCCAGATTTTAGACACAGTTGACTGAGAACAACCTTTGTAACATTTTATGGTGGTTTACCTTTTTGAAGTTTTATCCTCTTCATTGTTTCAGCTGTTATCTCTTTTGTGTCTGAGCCATGATTTATTTCAGTCTGCCTTGTGCAACAGCTCTCCAAGTTGAGCTTCTTTTTTTTTTTAACTGAAGACTCATCAGGAGATTTAATTTGCTGCAGGTTTTAGATCTGCAAATTACAGTTTCCATTTTTCTTCCTCTAATATCTCTAAATAGCAAAAGTGCATGATTACAACACTTATATTGTCTTCTTTTTTTATATGTTTCCTAATACCAGAAGGTTACAATTTTGAAAAAAAAAGACATGTTTTGTGGCATGTCTGTGACTTAATTTTTAAATACAAAATTAAACAATACAAGGAACCATCTCTCAGAGTAGAGACTCCATATTTTTTAACAGGAGTTGTACATTGTTGAAACACTGAATAGATCAAATTACCCTTTTGTTGGATGTACACCAACAGCTGATTCACTTTTGGAGTCAACTTTGTTCAATTCAGCAACAATTTAAAGTGGTAGTAGCTGAGAGTTATCCTCAACAAATATTTCAGGCTCTAAAATTTCTTGTGAGATCTCTCAGCATCACATAAAAAGCAATTTACAAGGTTTGACTAATCATCTGTATAAAATGGTCCATTCCTTCAGCTTCTCTTCAGTGGTGAACCTCTCTGTGTTCAGATTAACTTCATTTTACAGTAAATTATGTTCTCCACAAGGACAGCATGCACTTACACTCAGTCAATAAACTCAAGCTCTTAATTTCTGCCTTTAGAAGTTTTAATGTTCTATAAACGTCCACCAGATGTTGGTTATTTTCTATCAGAATAAGAGCGAATAAACAGATGTGCCTGAGCATGTGTGCACTGTTGTTTGTTTATTAGATACTTCATTTCAATTTAATTTGTTTTTTTCTGTATTTGATACAAACAATGCAATTAGGGTGAGAGTGGGGTACTTGCAGGCTTTGAACAGAACAGGCGACAGAAAGGAGAGTTGGACCCGAGGCATCACTGTCACACATCGCCAACCAACCTGTCTCA